AAATATCCAATGGACAACAGATAAAATCCTCATGAAAAATGAAACTAAATAATCCAGGAGGGAAGACTAGACAACAAAATTGAATACTAATGGGAAAACATGTCCAGGATAGCAGAAAATGTTTCATTTGTAATTAATCTGGAAAAATTGTAAGGCACAGAATTGACTGATAAAATTGCAAAAGAATCTCTTGAGCATCTCCAAATAGATGGTCTTCCTCTATGATTTATGAATATGACTAGTTTAAATAGTGTGTTTATTTTCTGAATTGGTTGAAAGACTAATTGTTGAAAAGCCACAATGGTTAAACTATGATTAAACTTTTATTTCTTGGTTGGAACACTCCAATTTAAGAATCCAGTGATATGATGACATTTTCCCTGGAACATTTATTCACGAATTTAAACTTTGCAAGGATGTCTTCTTCATGATTCCCAATCCCCTGGGAAAATGAAAGGGGACTTAATATTACTGGATTATATCCACTGGTGATTTTAAACCGAAGTTCTTCAGAAAGCCTCCAGAAACAGAATGGTCATGGAAGTTGAATGCTAGCCAGAACTACACAAAACAGAACCCCCTAGAGATTGAAACTGATAATTTACATTTTTAATATGCTTCTTAAAACTTGGAGTTTTTTTCTTCTTCCTTTTCCTCCCTCCCTCCTTCCCTCCCTCCCTTTCTTCCTCCCTCCCTCCCTTCCTCCCTTCCTTCTGTCTTTCTGTCTTTCCTTTTTTTGACATCCTAATTTTGAGAAGCGACAGCTTTGCCATGTTGAGGGAACCAGCTATGACATCCATATTACCCACATATGTGATGTAATGTGATTTTTTGGGGAGGGTGCTACTTTGAAGTTTAAAAAGAAGATTTATCAGCCAGTGGTGAGTAGTGTCTACCTGACCCCCAGAACTCAAAAGGAGGAGACTTCCTGGGAAGTGTGCATGCTATATCTGAAGCTCTGAGAATATGGGACCTAGTAAGTGTCCGTGATTAGTGTTATCTCAGAAAGCTCAGCGTTATCAGATGAGTCAGTTTCCTTTAATTGAACGATAAATTACTAAGAGAAATAAGAACATCACTAGTAACTATGATCTGAAGGCTAGGGGCTACTTCTAATTTTTGAACCACATATGAGGATGCTTGTAAGATCCATATATTACAGGAGGTTAAATTTTAATATTAGAATTCTTTCCAATTAGGTCAAGTCAAATGTAATGTAAATCAAGAGATGAAGACAGACAAAAATTATTTTATCCAGTGTCTCTTAGGGCAATTTATAACATTTACAATATTACCATATGATCACGTAAGACTTCCTTAATTAAAAGAATGCAGAAAATGTAATGTTATTACATTGATATCAATAATAATTCTATTATAATTCAACAAAATTCTACAAAGTGAAATTGTATTTATAATTCAATGACCTCCTCCTTTCTGAAGACTTTTCCTAGGGAAAAATAATTGCTACTTCCTCTGTGTTTGTATGACCTTTTACACATGGTGGGACTTATAACTGATCATTTTCATGTCTGGTTTTATATGAAGTTCTTAGTCAGTATACAGACCTTGCTCCATTCACCTGTATTTTCCCAGTTTCTCAAAAAATGTCTGGCACAAAACAAGTGGTAGTGTGTACTAAAGAATTAAAAAAATCATTAGAGAGTATAGGAGAGCAAGGCAACTGTTGGGGTAGAGAAAAAATAGTTAAAGTTAGTTAATTTCTATGAGTGGTTCCTGGTTTTTTTAAGGAAAAATATGAATGTCGTCTGTCTCCTGGGGATCCTCTTATGCTACTTGACTTTTTGAAAGAAATATGTAGCTTTGGACTATTTATGATTAGTCCATGAATCGTAAACTACTGTCACGCTGTATATCATGGCAGAAAGAGCCCTGTTTTTGCATCATAGGAAATAAAGTGTGAAATTTAAATGCTGAATTAAAATATGCAATTTCACAAGAAGAAAATATGAGAAACTTATTAACACCTTCAAAAAACACTTCCTCTAAGAAATATACCAATTTTTCTTCACAGCCAAAAACCAACATATTTTAATGGAAATTAAAAAATGACTTGAAAGTCAGTTTTTATTCATAATAACAGAATCTTTGGAGTATATATGAAAGTATCTTTTAAAAGGATTTTAAGGATATCGTAACACAATATTAAAAGTAAAAAAGCATATTTTACTTCAACAAAAAAGCACTATTTTTAAAAGAAGGATGCATTTCTCATCTTAACTAAAATTTAGCTTTAAAACACCCACTCATAAAACCAAAACTTACTTAAAGGTAATACCCTTGCTCTTCTGAATATTTTTACTGATTTTTGGTATTCTATGCCTGTGAGTTTTCTCTTTTCACCACCGCTGCTACCATGGTAACACCAACAACATAAGCACTGTGCCCTTGCTTTGTGCTTGACTGGGGTACCAGCTAAGTGGCAAATGTGATCTCATTTTCCATTCATGCATGACATTAGAAGGAATGCAGGAACAATAGGTATCATTAAAACATAAGCATAAATCATGTTTATAGGAGAAACATATATTCTGAAAGACCTTAAAGGTAAGATTTGCATTTGATAAGGGTAGCTGCTTACCTGTCATTCTTAGCTAAAGCCAGATTCTTTTTGTATTTTAATGTTTTCAAATAGGATAGAAGTTCTTTTTCATGTATGAGATAAGCCTTAACTGAAGTGAAAATATAGTAGGAAAAGTTTGAAAGAGCCCAAAGGAATGTAGACAAGAGAAAAAACTTTTGAACCTCAAAGCCAGGATTTCTGACATCTAAGATTAACCTGATAAAGAGGTCACTTTTGTCTGAGAGCCTCTTCCTACTCTGCTGTGATCTGAGTCAAACAGATGAGAGGGATGACTATGAAGTCAACTCCGCTCTACAACATAGCAGTGAACTAAGGGCTCCTGCTTGTGCAAGAAAAAGATGCCAGGCAGGAAACACACACAGAGAAGGAGGATAAAGACCAAAGAGAGACAAAATGGGTGGGCTGGGAGGCTTGAGTCCAAAGGAGGTTGGGAAAGCTTTTCCAAGCCAGTCCATTGCCTACAACGGTGGGATAGGAGTCAGGGTGAGAGATCATTAGACCAGGACAAACGATCCTGGATTCTCACTGAGGTTTTTTTTTATTAACCAACTGTATTGACCTCAATGAACTTGAGGAAAGAGTTCCTTCTTCCTAATTCTCTCAATTTACCAAACATGTATTATGTTCAAAGCATCAGGTTAGCGCCAGAGAGCAGTGTTTCTCAGTAGGTGGGACTCTGTAATTGTGTCAGCCTCTGCTTGGTCCCACTCCAGAACCAGCAGAAGAGACTCTCTGCAAGTGGGTAGTTCCTGGTAAGTTTTAGGCACATGAAAGTTTGAAAGCCAGTTTTTAGCTGGAGAACATAAAGATGAGTAAGATGCAGTCTGTACCTTCAAAAATTTCTGATCTACTTTTCTTTAAAAAGGGTCTTTGTACTAGGTGATTTCAAAAAGCTTTCTGATGATACTCATTTTACTTTAATTTTTTCTAACAGAATTAACATTTTGGAAGGTACTGTCACTTAATAAGAATAATTTTGGTTATGTGACCTAGTTCTACTTACTCAGCCATTTTTGATGTGCTTTGAATAAATTGCATGGTTCCTTAGTCTCATATTCTTACTTGGAAGAAAGTAAAAAAATGCCCAACCATCAGGAATATTATAATAATCTCTGGTGATTTTCAGCAGCACCCAGGGAGGCATGGAATCAGGAGTTAGTGAACTAGACTCTGCTTCTGACAACTAGTTGCCTGACCTTGGACACATAGTTTCACCTCTTTGACCTCAGCTTCCTTTTTCTAAGAGGAGGGGTGAGATTATAGACGTGTCAAAGTCTCTTTGTATTCAGATGACAAAGCTTCTATGGCTATGTAACTTCTAAAATTTATGAAAAATATTTGGTAAACATCTCTCATTTGTGAGCTCATCCCAGGGTCTATGAAAAATAAAGTTCACATATATTAACATTGATCTTAGGAAATGTATAAACTCATATCATCAGTCCCTCTGGGTCTCACTGATTTTGCTATTCAATCATCTCTTGCATTCACTTATTCCTCTTCATTCCTCCCAGAGCTGCCCTAACCTACTCCCTTTGAACTTGACCACAGTGACAGTTCACTAGTTTCTGTTTCTTGTTTAGACTGTATACACCCCATACCACCACTAGGGGCATCATTCAGAAACACAGATGTGACTCATTTACGGCTTTAAAACCCCTCAATGGTTCTCCTGGGCTTAAAGGTGAAGTTTAAACACATATAAGAAGGTCATGTAGAAGGACTCTGCCATTCACTGCCAGCATCCTTAATCAGCCTCATTTCTGACCACTTCTATACTGGGCCATGTGTTTACTGACCACCCCTACATATCTGTTCTGTGGTTTTTCCCCAATTATGTTATAAACTTTCATGTTTCCCACATTACTTTCTATAGGGAATTCCTTGCATCTCCTCGTCTGCCTAACAAACTTTGCAGTTCTTCATAAATACTCCTATTACATTAATAATTGTATTTTCCCACATTTATTCCCTCATAGATTTTGAGAGAAATAAAAACTGGAGCCCTGCTTTGTTTACCTTTGTACCTTTAGGACCCACAAGAGTGCCTCACACATAGCAGATGTTCATGAAATGTTGAAAACATAAATTCAAGTAGCTAGAAATACCTTCAAAAGTGACTTTTAAAAATAAAAACATAAAACTCTGTAAGAGAATATCCTATCAACCATCGATTCACTTTTGTTTAGATTTAAATGAATTTTCTTTGCAACATAGATTACCAAAAAACTCATAAGTAGTTTGTGAATACTTATTGACATGAGCATTAAAAAGCGTGTACTGTAAATTAACATTGAAAAGACACAACTATAATAATAATTGTTCTCATTTAAACAATGGGCACACTGGAAGGGCAATAGTCAGGTATATGGTTTACAAGCAAGACAGCTCTTACCGGTCAGATCTACATTGGGCCACCACCCCAGGTCACAGGCTTTGCAAGTGAACTCATCTTGCACATACTCATTCTCTTTGCAGCCCGTGCAAATCCAGCAGCAGCTCACTTCTCCTTTCCTTATGACCTATAATACAGGGACATGGCATATGTCTTAAAGATGACATCTCCAGAAAAGCTTCTATTTCAGATGAGGACTTGTTTTTATACTATGATTAAAAGGAAAAAAAAATAAGAGGATCTCTGAAAAACATCCTATATGCTGAGCAACCTTTACAATGTAGGCAGGGTGCAGTGACTCACACCTATGATCCTCCTGTTGTGGGTGGGTGGATCACTTGAGCTCAGGAGTTCAAGACCAGCCAGAGCAAGAATGAGACCCTAGCTGGGTGACCTGGTGGGCACCTGTAGTCTCAGCTACTTGGAAGGCTAAGCAAGAGGATCTTCTGAGCTCAAGAGTTTGAGGTTGCTGTGAGCTATGATGTTACAGCACTTTACCCAGGGCGACAGAGTAAGACTCTGCCTCATTAAAAAAAAAAAAGAGTGCAGACTGCAATATATTTGATTGTCTTAGAGTACAGAAGTGAATGTCAGTTTATCTCATTCTAGATTTAGAAATTTTTCAATAATAATTTATTTTGTGGATGGGATTAACTGTATTATTTCTGCATCATTAAAAAGTGAAAGTTTAATTTTGTCCTTATTTGCATATTAGTATTTGTTCTCTCAAAAGGTAAAAAATTTACATTTTTCTTTTCTGATAAACAAGTAATGTTTAACTACAAAACCTCTATGAAATAAAACCATAATAATTCATAAAAACAGAAGAATTATGAAACTTTTATTGTAATTATAAAAGACCAAATGATAGACAATTTCATTCATGAGCAACTCTATGTACATTAAAAACAAAGTGACAGCTAAGATAGTATAACCAAGTATTGTCCTAATTTGCTCTAGTGAATTCAAAAACTCACATCAATTGTTGTAAGAAAAATTGCTAGTCCCCAAATCTCTGTGAGTTATTTATTATCTTAGCAATTTAACCTTTCCCCACTTTCAATTTGTTTGGTAAACACTTTCATACTTACACACTATTAAAGCAAGTTTCTTGTAGACAGCACACAATTAGGTCTTGCTTTTATCTCTAGTCTGGCAATTTCTGCCTTTTTATTGTTTGGTACACTTACACTTATTATAATAACTGCTATGGTTGGATATAAATCAATCATTTGTTCATTTTTTCTGCCTGTCCCATCTGTTCTTTGTTTACTTTTTCCTGTTTCTCTGCCTTCTTTCTTAGTATTCCATTTTATCCTCCATAGTGGCTTACTAGCTAAACATCTCTGTTTTGCTTTAGTGGTGGTTCTGAGATTGACAATGTACACCACTGACTTATCACAGTCTATATTCAAATAATATTATATTCCTCTATGTACAATGTAAGAACCTAGGCAGTATCCTTCCAGTTCCCCACTTATCCTTTGGATTATTCTTTTAATACATTTTACTTACACATATTTTATGTCTTCTACCTGGACAATGAATTGTTTTGTTTTGTTTTATTTTGGCTTTAAGTGGTCAATTATCTTTTAAAATAAGAAAAACATAGTTATGTTTCATATTTACCAATACATTTACCACTTCTGATTCTTTTAATTCCTTTCTAATAAATCCGTATTTCTGTGTGTTATGATTTTCTTCTCCCTGAAGAACTTCAACTTTTATAGCACTACTGCTGGAGACTGTGACTTCTCTCAGCTGTTATTTAAGAAAGGCTTTATTAAGATAAAAAAAGAGAAAAGTTTTATTTTTCTTTCATTTTCCAAAAAATAATAATTTCAGCTGGTATGAAAGTTTAAGTTGGTATTAGTTTTTTTTTTCACTTAGTGCTTTGTATCATTTTATTTTCCTAGGGACTAGAATTCTAGGTTGAAATTATTATTATTATTATTATTGCTTTCAGAACCTTAAGGATGTTACTCCTTTCTTGCCTCACAGAGAGTTTCAGATGAGAAGTTTACTATAATTATTTTCTTTCTCAGATGTAAAGAACTTTTTTTTTTTTTTTTTTTTTTTTTTTGAGACAGAGCCTCAAGCTGTACCCCTAGGTAGAGTGCCATGGCATTACAGCTCACAGTAACCCCCAACTCCTGGGCTCAAGCGAGTCTCTTGCCTCGGCCTCCCAAGTAGCTGGGACCACAGGCGCCCGCCACAACGCCCGGCTATTTTTTGGTTGCAGCCATCATTGTTGTTTGGCGGGTCCGGGCTGGGGATTCGAACCCGCCACCTTAGGTGTACGTGGCTGGCGCCTTAGCCGGTTGAGCTATAGGCGCCGAGCCGTAAAGAACTTTTTATTTGGGATAATATTAATACTTTTTTAACAACAGTTTTGACAACTTAACTATGATGTCTTCTCCATGCTTATGTTTTTGCTTAGGTCTTGTTGATCTTTACGGATTTGGGTTTACATTTTCATTACATTTTAAAATTTAACAGCCATTATTCCTTCAGTTTTGTTTTTGTTGTTTGTTTTCTTACTTGCTTCTCTCTCCCATCCTTTAACTCTATAAAGTATGGAAAAGTTGCTCAATTCTTTTAGTTTGTTTTAATTTTTTTCCTGTCTGTGTTTTGTAATATTTTTGAGTTCACTATTTTTATTTCTATAATGTCTAATATGCTGTTAATCAAATCTATTTAAATACTCTTTTTTGGATATTTTATTTTTATTTCTATGACTTTCATTTTGGTTTTTTTCATCTTTCTAGCCATTATATTTATATTTACTATGGAATCTTTTAGTACGTATTTATAACAGATGTTTTAATGTCCTTGACCATTCCATCATCGATGTAATTTCAGGATCTATTTCTATTGCTTGGTTTTCCTCCTGGTAATGGGTCATATTTTCCCACTTTGTCAGTTGTCTACAAATTTTTGATCAGATGCTAGACATATTGTATATTGAGGCAAATAGTGTTGGATTTCTTGCTTGCTTGCTTGCTTGCTTTCTGGAGTGTTACACTTTATACTGGAAGGCAGTTATATTAATTACGACTCAGTTTGCTTCTTTTTTAGTCTTTCAGAGCAAGTCCAGAAGTCTCTGGTGTAGGAATAGCTTAGCCTCATTATCAAAGTGTGACCCTTTAAGAGTCTTTAGTTAATTCCTCATGTATTAAACATGATATAAACCTATACTCTGAATGGTGGAAACTGGAACAAATGTCTGGCTCTGTGTCAGCTCTAAGAATCCAACTCCCTAGCAATTTTTCTTTACCTGTACTCTTAGAATTTCACTCAGTTCACATGAAGATTAGTATTCAATAAAATACACAAAGGTATTCTTATGCTAATTTCTAGGACTCTTTTTTTTTTACATAGATCCATCTCCTTTCTCCTTTCTGCACTGCAAATTCTAGGTGCACTGGCCTTCCCAAACTCTGATTCTGTCTTCTTAAATTAACAAGATGGGCAAATTCTATTTGCCTTCTCTCTTACTGTATAACTATCAGGAACTTGCCTCCAGGAAGAAATCCTGAGTAATTTTAGGGCTCACCTTGTTTACTTCTTTTCACTTGTATGAGATTAAGGTCACGTACTGTTTTTCAATGTCTGAACAAGGTTGTTCTATATATTTTATCAAGACTTCTTGTTGTTTATAGCAGAAGGCTAAGTTTGGACTCTGTTAATCCCTTGTGTCTAGGAGCATAATTCCCTCCCTAACACTTTAAAAATGATCAAATACTCCCACATGTAAAGTCATAAATTAAACTGTACATATTTCCAACTTTTAAACAATAGAAACTCTAGCCTTCCTGAAAATCAAATTGTCTTCCTGCAGATCAGGCTGAAATTTATACTACTATTTTACAATGACATGAAAAGATCAGATGACAGAACATTTTCACAAATGTAAGAGTTTTTTTTCTTCTTCTACTCTCAAATAACTTTTGAAAGTAGAACCACATTAAGTCTTTTTTTTTCAAATTCACACTTCTCCTCAGAATAGGCATGGGAGATTTAAATTCCAAATGATATATTTTTATGTGACACGACAAAGATTGAATTAATAAACAAAAGCCTCTTTCTTATTTTAATTAGGATAAGTAGTACACTGAGAGTCATTACAAAATACTGCATGTCACCTCAACCAGTTTTATTTTTTTCTATCCCTGTAAAATTAGTACTACCAATTAGAAAATTCAAAGGATGATAACAGTAAGCAAATTTACTTACGCCAGATAGTGGTGAAAGTTGATTCTACGAGTAACTGACACACAGAAAGTATTTAACATGAGCTTTATACTGACTAAACAAGTGAATTAATGAATAATTAATTCATACCTTTCACAGAGACTGAAAGTGAAGATGCTTAAATGTAGTTTTTTTTTGTTTTTTTGTTTTTTTTTATCACTTCTTTAAGCTTCTACCACATGTGAGCACATTTGCCATGTAAGACTTGTAATATGGGATTTCTCCTTTCTACCTTCACAGCCCCCCCTCTAAACCCTGACTTTTTTACTTTACACCTAAATTATCATCCCTGTCTGCTAATCAGATAATAACATGCTGCCACTTTTTTTCTCTTCCAGAGTAACATTCACAAAGCTGCCAAGATCATCTGAAAGACCTATATGTGTCCCAAGGGACAGCACCATGCCACACTTCCAATGTTCAGAACATAATGATCCAGGCACAGAAATATACCCAGAGCACACAGAAGACAGTCATTACTATAGAATTAAGTCTTTAAAAAATATATATATAATTAGGCCTTGTCAAAGAACTTTAGCGTCTCCCTATTCTAATACCTTTGAAAGACGTACCTGTGATCCTCTGTCAGGCATTCACTTAGCCCTTAGTCCTTATTTCTGCACCTATCTTCATCTGCTATTAATTTCTTACATAAATCTTCCAAATGGAAAAGGGCAGCCTCTAAACTAAAATGCATCTTATCTTCCATTTAAAATGTCATGTATCCTCCATCAGTCCATCTTTTTTTGCAGTTTTTGGCTGGGGCTGGGCTTGAACCCGATACCTTTGGCATATGGGGCTGGTGCCCTACTCCTTTGAGCCACAGGCACTGACCCCATCAGTCCATCTTTAACACTACTTCCAAGACAAGAC